CCGGCTGCCGCGCCTACGAGGCTAGAACTATCTTGGTGAGCGAGCCGTGTCGTTCAGAGGTCGAGAGTTTTTTGATAACAATTACCGCGTCGAATAGACGGCCTCCATGTTATTGTATTTTGTCGTTAATATATGTGACAACGAGGCTTTTTTACGTTTTGATTGACTATTTTAACTTCGATTGCTATTAATTTTCATCGACGAGTGACTTGTGTAGCGAATTAAAGTTAAAATAAATTAGTTAAATTGTACGAAGGAATTTTGCTTTCGTGTGGAACGCTGAACTTTGTGATCCGGGTGTAGATCGTGCGCGATTATAGTTCGTGTTAAGTGACGCTGGACTTGAGTTCCGATAGCGCACGTGTTGCTGCTATCTGATTGTATCGGTGACGTCAGGTTACACTATACACTTTCCTACACTACACACCCACTACCATTTCTTGCCCCTGACGCCACCTTGTGGTAGAACCTACACTTCTGGAATTCGGTAAGTTTTGTGTTTGCGTATCTAGCCGTTATAATTTAATTATCCATAGGTCATCTACCCTCCCCTCTGTTACTCGTCGAATTGGGCTACTGTGGGCCCTAGCTCAATCAACCTTTGTCGGGGTAACTCAGGGCCGTAACATTTCTGGTAGCAGAGCGTGGTTAGGTAGAAACAATCAACCCCGTGCCATGCTGGTAGCAGAGCATGGTTGATTGTTTCGACATTCACGCCCGGCCGTAATATAATGATTTTTTTGTTTTTTGTTAGCGGATCGGTTGTTCGAACCACGCCGTTAGGCTGAGTGTAGTTTAGCATTTGTATTGTAGATTAAATTGCCGAAGGGTCGGTCGCCTCAGCGTGGCATCTTTGTTGACCAACTGTAGTGAGTAGTTGCGGTGTAGTAATTGTGTTTAATTATATTAATATTAATTGTATTAATTAAATTAATTGTGTAGTGTAATTGTGATTAATTTAATTTAGTAGTATTTGTATTTAATAGTGATGCCATCGCACAAGCCATCGGTGCTTCGCTTGCAGGTGGAGCTGCGCTGGTCCGCGAACGCCCACAGCTTGATAGGGCGACCCGATCGGGTCCATAGTTTAGAGAAGCGGCTCGAGCAGGTCATGGCCTGAAGGGCCGTAGTGGAGGAGGCTTGCACTGAGCTTTTGGCTTCGGGAGTGGAACAGGGAGTCCTAGACTCCTGCCTCGCGGACTACGAGCAATTTTTTTCGCTCACGGACGACTTGATCGAGGCGGGAGCCAAGTATGCTAGTGACGCGCGTAAAGCTCGGCTGAGTAGCCTGTTCGAGTCCCCTCGGAAGCAGCCTACTCAGCCGGAGCTGCTGGGACGACTCCGAACTCTGGACTTGCCAAGGTTCTCCGGGGTCCTCTCCGACTGGCTGACTTTTGTGAGACTGTTTGATAGCCTAGTGAACGCCCGGAGGGACTTGACACCAAGCCAGAAGAAGGCTTACCTCCTGGCCTCACTGGAGGGGGAAGCCCTGGGCGTCGTCGGCCATCTGAAATTGTCGGACGACGCCTACCAGACCACTCGGGGCTTCCTCGCCGAAAGGTACGCCAACGTACGGCGAATCGCAGACGAATACGTCAAGCAGCTGTTAAACCTCCCGCTGCTTAAGGACCGGGCCAGACTACGTCCGGTCATCGTAAATTCAGTCTTGGTGGCCTGTAACTCTTTGAGGCGGTTGGATTTACCGGTGGACGAATGGTCCTTTGTGCTGCTCCACATTGTGCTGTCCCGCCTGCATCTCGATCTTCGGATCCATTTCGAGGAGAGGTACGGCGGGGCATTGCCTCCTATATTCCGCCCTTCAGGGGCCTGCTGCGGTTATTGCAGGAGCAGTGCAGTTACGTGTTACACTAATGTGTTACGTGTGATTAATTATTAGTGTGATTTAAGTTTTAATTGGTGTTCAGTAATTAAAGTGTCAATTTTGGTGATTCAATCGGCATTTTTTATTTTCACGAACCCTAAGCTCGTAACAATAGGCTTGTAATCGGATCTTGCACCGTCTACAACGACCTTGATGTTCCGATCTGCAAGAAAGCTGGTAATCCAACTGCACAATTTCTCGGGAAGCCCATAGGAAGGGAACTTCGAAAGAAGCGCTTTGTTTTGCACAAAGCGCTTCTTTCGAAGTTTCGAAATTCGCGGTTCCCAAAAACCCGATCGAAGGCCTTCGCAATGTCCAAACTAACGGCCAATGCCTCCCCCTTGGACTCTACTGCCTCCGCCCATCTATGAGTTAGGTAGACCAGAAGAGCTGATCGACCACGACGAAAAACATATTGGTGATCACTAATCAGCTGGTGATCCTCAAGCTACCTCATGAACTGGCTATTTACAATGCACTCCATTGTTTTGAAGAACAAGGAGGTGATGGCGATAGACCTGTAGTTGGACGGGTCTGAGCGGTCGTCATTTTTAGGGATCGAGTGGACGAAAGACGTCTTCCATGATTTTGGGACTACGCCTAGGGATTAGGAGTACCGGAAAAGATGTGTTAAAACCGGTGCCAACTCTGGAGCACACGTCCTCAGCACAATTGGGGGGATTCCGTCAGGCCCACTAAACCTGTGAATGTCCAGGGAGAGGAGTGCTTTGTGAACCGAGCGCTGTGTGAACTGCACCTTTGGCATGGAGCACTCACGCTGCGTGATGTTCAGCGGCGTACTCCCCCGTCATCGAGAGGCCAATTTAGACGCAAAGAAAGAGCCCAGCAGATTGGCTTTCCCCTTTGCGTATGGGCCAGTGAGTCGTCCTCCCTGTGCAGAAATGGAAAAGATGGCTGACAGAAATTCCCCTGGACAGCCTTGGCGAGAGACCAGAATGCACGTGTTAAAGAAGGAAGGCGAACTAGTTTCTCACCAATTCTGCGTATGTGCTCTGACTTTGCCTTGGCAATGACTCTTTTGAAGGACCTGAAGGCGTAATTATACTTCTTTTTTAGAGCGCGGGTGTTTACATCCCGGGACGTTGATGCGTCAGCCCAGGCTTGGTAGCACTCCTGCTTATAGCATGATGCTATTTTACAAGAGCGACCACACCATGGCTGAGATTTGCCTCCGATGGGCACCACAGAGGAAGGAATAAAAAGTTCCATACCCTGAAGTACCACATCAGTGACAGAATCCGCAACAACGTTGGGATCGTCCTGCGAGAAGCAATCCCACCCCTAAGGGTAGGATGCAAAGAAAGACCGCATCCTATCCCAATCGGCTGACCTATAGTGCCAAACACGGCGACAGCCTGCAGAAGGCAACTGCGATTTCAGCGTGACTTGCACCACACTCCGGACAAAACAATGGTCCGAAGATCCTAAAGGGGCGTCGACGGAAATCTGATACCCGTCTGGGTGACAGGTTAGCAGAAGATCCAACTGGGAAGGTGCATGATCCTCCACATCTGGAATCCGCGTGGGCGAAGTAACCAGTTGTGTCAGACCATATGCCAAGGCAAAATCATGAACAGATCTCCCCGCATGATGGGTTAAACGTGAACCAAGCTATTCGGCGTGATGGGCATTAAAATCGCCGAGGATCATAATCTTTGCGGAGGGGATTTGCTGTAGCAACGAATCTGTAGCCATTTGGACGTGGTCGAAGAGTCGGTCTGTTTCGGCATTACCGCTATGGGACCTATAGAGGCACACGTAGATGCGCGGATGGTCACCGCTGTCTACGCATAGTCAAATGATGGACAGGTCAGAACCTTCAAGACTACCTAGGTGTCAAGAACAGATGTTCCTCTCTGACGTAAACGCAAACTCCAGCTCGAGGCACAAAGGAGTGTTCGAGTTTGTACCCCGGACAGGAGAGATACGAGACATCAGCCGGTCGTCAGAGGTCACCTACGTCTCATTCAGAAAGAGCAGAGCCGGCCTTGCCGTCTCGAGATGGTAGTGGACGGCGTTTAGTTTAGAATGAAGTCCCCTGATATTGCAGGGGTCGCCATGGTCTTGTTGCTCCCTTTGCCCCGAGCAGTTGTAGTCTTGAGCGGAATTTACCCCCTCCTCAGAATACGCGGGGCAGCCTGAGCACCCACGCTCAGGAGTGGAGTAACTTGGTCTTGGATGCTCAGCGAGGGATTCTCCAGGGGTGCTGGTCCATCCTGGGGTAGTCTAATGTTTAATTCCGCTACCATGTTGATGGGGGTGGGGGGGGAATTGGGCCTCCGGCCACCTACAATCACCAGACCACACGTGGAAGCAGAGCTTCCACATCACGCCGGTATTCTGTGAGGTCGTGGTACCACTCCGGTTTGAGCCGGCCCATACGTGCAACAGCAAAGCTGCCGCGTGGCTCTGGCTCTGTCACTGTTAATTGTATAGGTAAGTTGGTTGACAAAAATGTTACACTTACAGGACTGAACGGTTCTTTCTATCTGTCCATTTCAGTTTTTTTTAAAATGACTTTTTTGTAAAATGACGCACGGCGACGATCTCATATCTCGATGATAGTTTTTTTAAACAGCTCTTCATTACTTATATTGATGGTAGCATACCTGAGTACCACGATTGTTTCTACCGCCCTCGCTGGTATAAATGCCTTGTAATCATACTTCTTTCAGAAATTTTCATTTTTCAAAAAGTTGTTGGCGTTAATCAGCCGTGCAAACACCACCCCTACTTTAGAAGCATTTATTCTTCTTATATTAATGACTCCTTTGACTTCGTAGTATCAAGCAGCTAATTTTTAAAGATAATTAATAATTACACATTGTAACTTCAGGCTTAGAAAGACTAGAACCCAGAGCCGTAAAGCCAGTTAATAAAAAATTACAGTTAATAAAAAACAATTGTTTTGTTGAGACAGTTTTGTTGCTACTAATGTTAAAATTTAAAAATATAATAATTTATATTATTAATAATTAACATAATAATTGTGATAAAGCAAATTTTTTGTAAAATATCTTTATGAAATATCGTTCTTAAGATTTATATTTGATTCTTGCAATCTAAAAGAACGACAATTATATCGGCAGAAGCTATGATGCGAATAGGTGTGCTACTGTATTTATTTTTTCTTTATTCCAGCAGTAGAGCTTCTGATGAAGCAAAAGGTGATAAAGTAGTGGTAGATTGTAATACATTACGTTTAGGACAGTATATTTGTCCCGACCCTAGTATTAATCAAATAGATCCAGATACACAACAGTATCGCGGATGTACAAAAGGAAAAATTGTTCCATCTGAAGGTGAAGCAGAAGGTAATTAAAATTAAATTTATTTAAATTCTATATATTTATATAATTTGCGTTTGATGTAATGAAATTAAAGAATCTATTCTTCTTACAACAGTGCAATGTATAGCAGCTGATGGAATTATATGCAATGAAACTAATAATTCAACATTTAGTAAAAAGCTACCATGTAAATGGACGTGAGTAATGTTTTTGACTGATATTTTTCTTTAGATCTTATAATATTTCTAGTATATATTCTTAACTTAGGAATCACAATTGTATTTTATAAAGCTTAGCCTTAAAATGCAGCAGTTGCCTACAGATCAATATTTTTTATAATGGTTAAATGACGAAACAAGTAAGCAGTCTATTTGTTAATCACTTACTATTGTTGACGTAGATATAGACATCCATTTATTCATCAACTTAAACTCATGCAGTTTTGATACAGAAAATAAAATAATTTATTATAAAATTCAAAGATAAAAATAGGTAAAAGAAAACAGACATAAAATTATCCGATAGCTTAATTGGGAAATTCTTAATAACTTTGATTTTTTTTGTTTATAGTTTAACATGTTTGTCATCAATAATTTTGTACCTGATTGTATTGAGAAAATAAATATAAATTCTATTCTATCCTATTCTATTTGTTTAAATAGCAACTGTGTCAGTTTGTGGGTGAATGTGGTGTATATATCTGGCACAAGCATTTCAAATCCTCTGAATTATTCGGTCAGTTTTCGAAAGTATACTTAGTCCATATACTGTATGGGCGTAGTTTAGCCTGAGACAAATAGTCCAACTAGGTTAGTCTAACTTCGATGGAGAGGTCAATCGATGGATTCAACTCGGCTGGGCAGTGCCCGGAAAATTACAACACACTTAACCGAGGATAGGTGTAGGAGGATAGATGTAGATGTGTATGGGCCACTGTATTCACTTACCTTCAGGTTGGTTGTGTGCTTACAGCCTTTTTATGTAAAAAATACACTCCCTAACTTGTTGGATGTGATGTGTGATGACTGATGATATATCCAACCAACTTACAACAACTAAGGCTACAGATAGCACTCTTAAGCACTCAAATGCATCTTACATCTTGTTGATTAATAAATTCTTGATAACTTGCTCAAACCAGACACAGCAGTAGGCAGTAGCACTGCTAGTTGACATCAAAAGGGCAAGGTTGTAGTACCAACACATCAAGAAAAGAGCTCTACCATCTATTAGTAATTAAGTAATAAAAAGATATATGAATAGATAACTATCATTTATATTCTCTAATGAAAAATCTTGAGACATTGTAGCTGCTAAAGCTAAGTGCTCACCATAAATTTTATAATATGCAAGCAAACTTAGCTCAATCTCTGCCAGCACTATTAAAATAGTTAATTGCAATTACAAATTCTGATTTATCACGTACTTGGCAGCGAAGGAACATATACCTACAAATACCTACATATTTGTGAAATAAAATATTTCAAGGACATTTGAAGTCCAACAACATACTGAAGTAGTGCAGCACATAAAGAACCTTGTAAGATGTGTATTAATGTAGGAAAAAATCCTATATATAAGAAATTAATGAAAACACATATTACATAAACACTCACGCCTGTCACCCAGAGGGGTAGGCAGAGACTACGGACTTCCATTTGGCACGATCCTGACACACCTCTCTCGCCTCCTTTACATCCATACACCTACGCATACATGCTCGTCGGTTAAGGGTACTTCTAACGTGGCCCATTTTCAAAATATCGCCAATTTGGTCGATAAACTTTTTCCTAGGGCGTCCCTTCCCGACTCGGTCATTCACATCTGCCATATAAATTTGCTTTGTCACTCTTTCCTCATTCATTCTTTCTACGTGACCAAACCACCGAAGCATTCCTTTCTTAATCCTGGTCACAACATCATCTTGCATACCACATTTATCTCTTATCACGCAATTTCTCACCCTGTCATTCAGATTACACCCTAGCATATTCCTTAAAGACCGCATTTCTACAGCATTTATTCTACTTTCGTGCTTCTTCTGCCACACCCAGCTTTCACTACCATACATTAAAGTAGGGACTAACACAGCATTATGAATTACCATACGTGCCTGTTTTGACAAATTCTGGTTCTTCATAATAGAGTGTAGTGCCCCATTCACTCTATTCCCTGCATTTACTCGTCGTTCTATATCCCTATCATATCTACCATCCCTGCTAAATACACATCCCAAATACACAAACTCATCCACTTGCTCAATCAACTCTCCTTCTATTCTTATTTCACATACCGTTTTGCTTTCTTCTCTTTCAAAAACCATCAGTTTCGTCTTACTTGCGTTCACTTTCATTCCCCTTTCTTTTAATTCCCAGTTCATTAATGTAACCATCATTTGCAACTCTGGCGCCGATGACGCAAGTATGACTTGATCATCGGCATACAAAAGGCATTTGACGGTTAACTCGCCCATTCTTAACCCACATTCTTCATCTTTCAAAGTTTGCAAACACCGGTCCATAAATAGGTTGAACAGCCAAGGGGAAGCCACACAGCCCTGTCTGACACCTTTTTGGATGCCAAACCAGTCCGAGTAGACCCCATTGATCCTGACACAAGCACTAGAGTCCCTATAAAGAGACCTTAATGCCTGTATCAAACCAGTGCTCAACCCATATGAGTTCAGTGTTTGCCATAACACATTCCTGTCCACTCTGTCATAAGCCTTTTCCAAGTCCATGAACGCACAAAAAACTTTCTGGTTTTTGGCCAAAAACTTCTCCGCAATCATGCGCATGGAAAAGACTTGATCTGTACACCCCATTCCCTTTCTAAAACCCGCTTGCACATCCCAAATTTTTCCATCAGTTTCTTTCATAACTCTTTCAATTAACACCTTAGCATACAGTTTACCCACAATACTAAGCAAGCTGATACCGCGGTAGTTTTTGCAGTCCTGCTGTGACCCTTTTCCTTTATATATTGGTACTATAACTGCTTTACACCAGTCATCCGGTACCCGTTTTAATTCCCAACATAAATTAAAACAGGTGTACAGCAGGCCTGCCACCACTCCCTCTCCAGCCCTTAGCATCTCGAGTGATACTCTATCATATCCAGCTGCCTTACCTGCTTTCATGCTTTTCATTGCTTTCATTATTTCATCTACACTTATCTCCATACCCCTTTCCACTTCTTTCGGAATTTCTAGTTCATTTAATTCATACGACTCTTCACTCATAAACACGCTTTCAAAGTATTCCTTCCATCTGTTTAAATTCGAAACTTCATCATTCAGAATACATCCATTCTCGTCTCTTATAGCATTTATTATCGGCTGTTTTGTATTTCCCCTGGCAGTTCTTACGAGTTTCCAGAACATTTTTATGTTAGCCTGGAAATTATCAGATATCCTTCTATCATTCTTGTTCGTTCTTTCTTTCTTTTTCCTTTCAACAACTTCTTTCACTCTCTTATTTAGACGTCTAAATTCTGCCTTTTTTCTTTCAATCTCATCATTCATACCAGAAGAATTATCAGCTTTGGTTGCTAGTAAATCTAACCATGCTTTCTTCTTTGATTCAACTTCCACCCGTACCTCATCATCCCACCATAACGTATTACTTTTCCTTTCATTTGTTCTCTTACTTACACCGCATACTTCGGTGGCGGTATCCACCAAACCTTTCTTAATATTATCCCACACAGTATTCAAGTCTAAATCATTCATACACAACTCATTCAAACATCTAATATTTTCTCTCAGTCTACATTTATACTTCTCTATCACATCTTCATCTTGTAACTTCTCTATTCTTATACGCTGTAACGCAGTGGTAGATACAGATGTCCGATGCCGCCAACGCTTGAAAAGACCATTAATTCGACATAAGACCAAGTAATGATCCGTCCCTACGTTGGACCCCCGGTAAACCCTTGTATCTACGACTGCGCTCCTCATTCTTTCATCCACAATTACGAAATCTATCATGCTTCTATCATCACCTCTTTCCCATGTATACATGTGAATCTTCTTATGACGAAAAAAAGTATTCGTCACAAAAAGATTCTTTTCCGCACATACGGTGAGGAGGTCTTCACCATTCTCATTTATACTTTCATCACCAAACGTTCCCAATATCCTTTCATAACCAGACCTCTTCACCCCAACCCTTCCATTAAAGTCTCCTAACATAATAATATTTTCATTTTCCTTACATTTTGTCAACACCATCCTTACCATGTCCCAAAACTGCTCTCGGATGTAAGTGGGCTTAGACATGTCTGGGGCGTACACCCCTAGCAGGAACAGCTTCTTTAAGCCCACTTTCATTCGTATCCATAGCAGTCTCGGGCTTACACATTCATACTCTTTCACACATTGACCCATTCTTTCTGAAAGGATGAAACCGACACCCTGGCATGCCCGTTCGGTCTCGCCTACACCAGACCAATACGCGGTATACGTGCCATGCGCAGTGGCATCCTTTCCCTTTCGTTTCGTCTCATTCACACATAACACATCTATTCCTCTGTCATTCATCATTTCGCATACTTCATCCATCTTATCATTCATTCCTCCACATACATTCAGCGTAGCCAGACGGGTTTCCGCAATCCACTTTTGCGCCCCTCCGGGAGACAGAACGTGACGGGTGGCGAACCTCGTCGCCGGTTTTTCTCCCGGAGATTCTTCGCACCCCTGCCCCATTTAAAGGGCGCCGGGAACTCGGGGCCATTTCTTTTATTTCTTGAGTCATGGTGCGAACAAGGGCTGGTGGTAGATTTTACGCCGCTACCATACGGCGAGGAGCCGAGTCTATTTTATCGGCTTTGTCGCTCGTTTAGCACCACCCGGGGGACACGTGTAGGGTGGGCCTAAGGTTAGGTGGTCGAAGCCTACGGACGCGAGCGACTCATCCCCATAATGAAAACACATACCGAATAAATTTAAAGTTACAATTCTAACTACATATAAATCCCTCCAAATATATAAGTGTAAAAAGGGTCTTCTAGGTTTTATTTACTATTCCACTTCTAAATGAGAAGAAAAACAACCCTATCTACCACAGGAAACAACCCTGGTATACAAACCAATCTGGTCCAATAGCTTTGTTCAGGTCTAGATCCCGTAAGGTTTTAAGAATCTCCTTGTTATATTGATCCGGATTTCCGACACAGTGGACAGTAAGAGACGCAAAAAAGTCTGCTTTTTCTTTAGCTGTATTCGCTGGTCAGGTCTGTCTTAACCACTTTAGCAGAGATGAAAAAGTTCTACTGTATGGTTGGTATAGCAAAGATCTTTGCACTGTTATGTTTGAAGCAATCATAACTGACTTTTCAAAATGTCGTTTTTTAAACTACTCAAAACTGAAGTGCATGAGCTATATGCTTTTGGTGATAAGACTACAGAAATTTTCCAAATTCGGTCATCATACTGCATCAATCTGTTGTATCAGTGATATCGTCTTCCAGTGATCTTCGAATTCATTTTATTTTCTTCTTATTCCTTTTTTTTTCAGTGTGTATTTTTTTTGCCTGTTGGATGTTATTTTAAATGACTACTTTGACAATGATATCAAAAATTATTTAGCCAAGATGCACATAATAAAATGACTACCGCCCATGAGTTTAAAGAATGAGATTGAAAATGGCGTCGCCTCTATTCATCTCTTGCTTGCACACTGTCGCTATCTATACTCACAACCGTCAGTAACAACTGCATAAAAAATACGTTGCGACACTCGTTTTCTGTACATTCTATAACTACAGTTCAAATTGTCATTGGAAAATGATAACAAAGTGCCATCAACTACAAAAAAAAATCAGATTTTTCCTTTCTACACGTGTAATATTCTGCCTTGATGCCAAATTTGAAGTTTCTAAGTAACCCTAATAAAACCACCCTAGGTTTTTGAGTCAGTGAATGAGCCATTTCAGACATAATAACTTGAATTGGTAAATTCATAAAATGTAGGTTTCTATATTAATCTAGTATTCAAGAAGAATATATATTTCTAGTATTCAAGAAGTATTTATTTAGGTATGCAAAATTGCAGGTGTAGGTCTAATAATTGCATGCCTGTGCGTCATCTTCTTTTTCTGAATTTGGCAGGCACTCTCGAATGTCGAATATAGTAAGATTAAGAAGTTAACATATGTTAATGTAATAAATTATATACATAATTTTCTTTTTTTCAGGAATGGATACTCTCTTGAAATAGCGCTGCTTTTATCAGTCTTTTTGGGAATGTTTGGATTAGACAGATTCTATTTAGGATACCCTGGTATTGGCTTAGCAAAATTATGTACACTTGGGTTTATGTTCCTTGGACAACTGTTGGATATTATTCTAATTGCAGCACAGGTAATTTAGATAATGTTAAATTATGATATAATATTGTTTATAGTTATTATCGTTACAGTCCATCACTAGACCATCGCTAAACATAGGCTTACCCAATGGATTACTATCCAACAAATTTTTTTTTGCCTCATAAGGTTGTCACTTTATCTAGTCGAAATCTATATCATTTCACAAAAATAAAACCTCGGATATGAAGGAAATCTGGAACAAGAAACCCTGTTTATAAAAAAAAATACCATTACAATTTCATTTACAACTAATATAAAATTCGTACAATGTTTATCTTTATATACTGTAAGACCTTCTTTACCGTCTGGAAAAAAATAGGTTGTAACATGTGAATGGAGTAGAAACTTATGGCACTGATATTTTACAAAAACTAAAAACAAAAATTTTTAATAAACGTTCGAATATTTTATGCCGTTCGTAAAGAATGGTATATATTATTTGAATTTCGATAGATTTTAATTAATATATTTACTTTTCATTAAAAATTTTTGTTTTTATTTTTTGTAAAATATCAGTTTCATCTACTCCATTTACATGTATATAAAATTTCGGTGTGCGTTCGTAATTCTCTACCTAAACTGCTTGACTGATTTTGATGGAATTTTTATGGGCAATTAATGGATTACCTACATGGTTCTTAGCTATAGTAGGAACCGGTAGGTAGCGCTGTTGTCGAGATCCAGATGTGATTCTTACTAATCATCTCTAAGCCTTAAGTAGCTATTTTCCTCCAGACACGATGTAGTTTTAACCGACTACCGGTTTACAATTTACTAAGATATCGCGTAATGTCTAAAAAATATAGTATAAAATTTTATTGAGTACTCATTTTTTTTATCAGTTAAAAATGATGATGTCAGCGGAGTTTCAAATATTTGATTATAAAATGATTTGTTAAATAATTTTAACACGGGTAAAACATAGATTTGCCTAGTTAATTGTTGTAATTTAGTTTAACCAGATAGTTTAATATTGGCCAGCTCTAATACTAAACATTACATTTTTTTTATAAAACTGAAGTGAAAAACAAATTCACATAGTCCACCTGATGGAAAGTGGCTACCGCAGTCTATGGACACCTGCAGCTAACTTCAAACAAAGAAGGTTACATATGCGTTGTCACTTCTGAGTACCAAGATGGAATGTCTCACAACTTGTAATTATGCTGGTTCTCAATACCGTTCCGAACGGCAGACAGGAGTGCGCACATAGCTATTTGGCGTCAGAAATAGGTTAGAGAGCGGTACTTACCTAGACGCACTCTTAGGCTCTGGGTGGTAAGGCTCAATTTACACTGCTGTGGAACGGAATGGAAGCGAAAACAAACCGGGGGATTCCCCGGAAGGCGCGCGACTTCTTTTTTGGCTCATATCATAGTTTGCATGTTACACAATTAACATAAGACTCATTTTACTATGTACAATTTCGTTACAAAAATTCACTTCCAATCCGTTCCGCAGCAGCGTAAATTGAGCCTTACCACCCAGTAGGTTGTTTTTCTATGGATTAAATTGAATTAGTTAAGGTAATTTTCAATTGAATTCGACTTCGAAATAAATGACTAGGTGGTCAATTACCTTTCTTCCACATTTATCTACAGAAGAGATTACACCATTCTTCTACAGAAGTATACATTTACTTACAGTCGAGTCATTCACCAGTTATAATGGCAGCTCCATGGTTTATTTTAGTTTAGTTTTAGTTATTTTGATTTTTCAGGTACTAAGTAGTAATTTAGTGTCATTTTTGCAGATACCTACTTTATTTACCAGTCACCTTTGATATTTTTATATTTTACTACAGTATGTTTATATTATAATGAACTTAATGATTTCTTATATTTACACGAACACTACATAATTGATTAAAATTACTTTTGTGGATTTTTCAAAACGTCGTAAATTGAAAATCAAAGTTATAATGAACTTTTTAGGTTGTAGGGCCTGCAGATGGTTCTGCATTTGTCATCCCATACTATGGAGCAGGAGTTACAGTCATCAGAAGCGACAATGAGACTTACTTACTACCACAGGCAGACTGGCATAACATTACTTGACAGTGGGGAACAATATCCTTTGAAGATGATGAGGATTATGAATGGACTTAGTAGATTTTTCAGTAAAGTGAAAAATATCATACGATCAAATTCTAAATTTATATTTCTTTCTTTAGCTAGCTTCTTTTTTGTAAGGACTATTGGTAAAATATCAAAGGATGTACTATTATTGTTATATTATCAGTAACCTAATTATAAAAATGTGATGTTAAATATTATTCGAAATAAATATGTATTATGTATAAAGAGATATGGATATATCTTTTAATAAAACATTAATGTAAGGCAGTATATTACGAAAATGTAAATATAATACTTTCAGATTATTAAGAGTAGCATAGCATAAGATCTTCTGTTGTAAAAAAAATATAAATACTGTTTACAGGAAATAGTTTATTTACAAAATAAATTATCTACCATCACTTAAAATCAGTTTGTTTTGATTTGTTCATCATCTGTTTCTTTTACTGCTGGTTGAGTTTCCTGCATTACAATGTCTGTTGGTGGTGCTGTCAATGTAAATATTACTGGTATATCTGATAACACTGGGTTACCATATTTCTCTAATAGCCTAATCCATGATAAAAGCGAATCCCTTGATGATGTTCCTATTAAATTAAAAATAAAAATAGATCAGGTTACATACAGACACTAATGTATTATTATACCCAAATTCTATAACTTAAAATAGATCAGGTTACATACAGACACTAATGTATTATTATACCCAAATTCTATAACTTAAAATCAAGTGCACCCCTAGAACCGGAACTCTACCAAAGAAACTTGTTACTTTGCACCTTAATTGTTTCCCATTACTAGCAGACTTCTTTTTCTTATAGAGTAAGGGTGACAAACGAGCACACAATCTACTTGATGGTAAGTGGATACTGTAGCCCATAGACATCTAGATTTATCCTCAATTAAGAATCAAAATGCAGTCGCGTTGTCACCCATGAGGACTAAGATGGGATGCCTCATTTCTATTAAAAAAGGATCTCCAAATCTCCACACTCACCATACGAGACAGCAGTATTTAGCTGCTATTCTATGTTGATATTCAGTGAGAGCCTGGTCCTTCTCTGGTCGGGCCGACCCATTTGTTACAACCATAATATAGCTGCAGAGTGGCTCTACCACATAGATTATATAAGTATTACAATTTTGGCTGTTTAACCTCTCAACCGCGGCCATATTCCGTCAAATCCCTAGCGGTGTCATGAGGTCGCACCCACCCACAGCACTTTAACCCATAAATACTTATATATAGAGACTACTTTTCTATGAAGAAGTTTGGCATTATATAATCTATATGAAATACTCTATCCTCTAGTGCAATAAAAAAACTTATCCTATTAATATTTAATTATAATCTACGTTCATTTCGTACGCCATTTTCGCGTGAATGTTATTGTGTTGAGTGTTTTAGTATAGTGTTTTGTTATAAAATTGTAATGAAAGTTTTTGTGTGAATATAATTCTAATCTTTTTACGTAAATAATTTCGAGTAATATTTATTTAAATAATTGTGATTTTCACGCTGCCGACATTCGCTTGGTACATTTTTTGTTATTAAAATACAATGAAATCTTTTTTTTAATGAAGTAAAACTTGTCTTTTGTTGTAGACCACAAGATAGAGAATTTTGTATAGATTTTATAATGCTAAACTTCTTCATAGAAAAGTAGTCTCTAAATATAAGTTTTAATGGTTTTGACCGCTCGGGATTTGCCGGGCGCATGCGACTGCATGGGGATTTTATGTCGCTTGAAGGGTTAAAGTATTAACATGTTGAGATATTTCTACCATCTATCAAACTCAGAAATATTTTCATAGCATTCACTTTAAATCTATTATTATGCTAAAAGCCACAACATAGCTATAGGAGTTGTATGACTTTTTATATGATACATGTTCCATTACAGCCTATAAAAGTTCACTGCTGAACACAAGCCCCCCCGCCATAGATTGACTCATTGGGGGGATATTTCGTCATAGTTGCCACGCTTGGCATTGTGCTGGCAACTGAAGCTTTTTATTATTTACAATGAAAATGCTGCTACCCATCTCCTCTTTTAGCTTCTCTCTGTCGCCTCTTACGACTTAGGGGACGATATGGGGTAGTAAATATTCTAACATCGCCACTACACGGTGGTTACATATTATGAATATTTAATTTTTTTATTTCCTTCTCTGATGGTGTTGCACAAAAATTAAATGATAGAATCAGGCGTTACTTTGTGGAAATCTATTATGTTAATGGCTTTAAAAATTAATTAGCTAAGATCTGCATGTTAAAACTTATTAAAAAAAAATATTACGCGGATCTAAACTACTTCATTAATTTTTAACATCAAATTAAATACTTATTTAAAGATATATACTTTAAACATAACAAAGATAAAATAAAATTGATACTTAATACAATATAATATTATGTAATAAACTATATGTAATCAAATAAATAAATAAACCCCAACAAGACAGAAGTTGTAGAGAAGCAGCTGAGACAAAACTGCCGAAGGTTAGGTGAAAAGAGATCGCCGATGAATCGAGCGGTATCGAGAAGCACCGCATTAGAGCCGGATGTGCTCAGTCACTGACTCTTAGTTGCTTCCGATGACCCGAGATAATCACTGGGAATAACTTCTTTACAGGCTTCCAGGCTTGCTTCTTTGCCATATTATGGAAATGGATGGTTCCAGCTCAGCAAAAAGTGGTGCAATGCAAGCATGGTTGGCAATATTATTATGTTTAATAGGAAAGGAATGTTGTTACATATTATTAATAAATATTACCTGTAGCACAAACTGAGACAATTGTACCATCATCTTGTTCATGCACTGTGCATTTAATAGCTGGTAACTTTGTACTCCCGATAAAACCAGGTATACCAGGAGGCTTTTCAATATTAGATACATCTGAAAAATAACGAATGCAATTAAAAATAACATAAAAATTGTTATAGCAATTTTAATGCTAATAATGTTAAAATAATTCTTTTTTCCGTAATTGTATATATATATTTTTGTCTTCAATTAAAATTAATACAAATATAAGTTTAAATATATTAATAGTTTAATTTGAATTGCTCGACTTTCTTTTCTTCTTCATCTTCCCATACCTAATGTATCGATCTTATAACAATTTATATATTATTAAACAATTTGTTGATTGATAGTCAAGAATTTAAGGCTTAAAAAATATTGTAATGAGAGCTTATTTGTCCTTACAATATCAATAATTTCTTAAAATTCTCTGAAGTTATAGATTTAAAAAACCTGAGATTATTAATAAACTAATAACTAAAATAACACTATTTGAGTGTAAATAGTAATAATGTTTGAAGACCACTTGAACTTTCAATTAGTCAATTTAATGCTTACAATGCTAGCATTCCTCAAATTCGCATCATAATTTAGGAGAACGCCCAACAACACTTTTTAGTATACCTAACAACCACCTTAAATAAATTAAAAAAAAAATTTTTCTTTTTCAAAATATTATATCATCAAAATATCATATTATCATATCATAAGTGAGTACTATACCATCAAGATCTTTGTCATCATTATGTTCCGGTCGGATTTTACCAAGCAGTAAGAAGTAAGACACAACTTGATCTTTCAAGTAAACAATGTAGGGGCCCTTCACAATTAATGGGTCATCTGGAGGTTGCTCAGCCAGTAAAGCTTGTTGTATTCTACTCTGTGCACTTACAATCCAAGTCTTGTCTAATGAAGCTTCTATCTCTTCTGTCTGACAAAAAGAGTCGATTCAGAAAGTTGTATTTTCAGATAGTAAAAAATGAAAGTATATATTTTAATAAATTTAAATAGAAGAAATTTACAACTTATTATAACTACAAATTATAAAAAAAATTATGAATGTTGTGTATTCAAATAAATAAATAAATTAATAATATTGCTGAACTATGGACGAAGCCACACGGGCTTCATCCATAATTCAGCAAATTCATTATCTGCATGTCTGTCATTATTGCACACTTAGCATGCAGATCTGTTATTACAGTACTAGCCATCAGATGTTGCTTTTCGTCCCAGGTCTACTTGTGATTGTTTTAATATCTAGTACATTATTTGCCTGCCTGCCTCGCTGAGGCAGACCCAGGCGGAGATGGCGGAATGAACTGGACTCCTTCATGAAGGACTGGGCTATGGTGACTTAGAGAAAAAGAGAAGTGGGAAGAGGGTAGGGAGGCCTTTGCCCTGCAGTGGGATAGTTCAGGCTAGTAATAATAATAATAGTATATTATATGAAATAGTTAAACCACCTTGTAACTACAAGAACTTCTGAACCTTTTCCTATGTCACTTCTGATTAAACCAATGAGATGAAATGTGGAGCTTATGAAATCATTATAATCTATTTATTAACGGCAGTGTTTTATACTTTCTTAATAATCCTTTAATCAACAACAAGTGGGTAATGCAAAAAATTGAGTGGACATAATAAGCGCATATCTTAATATATATAAATTACGTGTCACATTATTTGTCCACGATGGACTCCGAAATTACTTAACCGATTTTAATCAAATTAGCACACCGTGTGCAGTTTGGTCCAACTTGAGAGATAGGATAGTTTTTTTGCCCATAAGTGACCCAAATTTTTTTTCACAAATTTAAGAATTTTCATAGGGCATGACAAAGGATCGTCAAATGGGCAGAACAATGTCTGCCTGGCATGCTAGTATAGTATACAATGTGGCGCTACTTCATAAAAAGCTTATTAATATTTAATTCTGGTCTGAATTATTCTTGTAGTAGGTTGTCACTATCTAGTGGGTCTACTCTACTATCTATATATCTACTTCGCATTTCTTGTATAAGGCTACCACTTGAGAACCATTATTTCCCATCAGTTGTTGGTTCTTATTGTGGCTACTTTATTACAAAGTCTATCACACAGATAAACTGCTGATATAGAGATACAAAAAGTTGATGGATGCAGGTAGCTCAGTACTACGCTGTGTGGCATTCCTTGGGGGTGGCCTATGTTAAGCAGTGGACTTTTTGGCATTGGCCTGTAATGATGATGAGGATTTATTTATTTTTACTAACATTTATTAAAAACAATTTAGGAGCAGAGTTACAAAGAAAGCAAGTACAAATAAAATACTTATTTGTTAGTGAATAACAATATGAAAATAGAATGAAAATAAATTTAAGTATATTGTTTGTCTTAAAATTGTATACTTTCAGTCAATGTCTCCATTATTAAATGCAAAAATTGTGTGATCAGACTGAAGATTTTACTGAGTGTTATTTCCATCTGAGAAACCATCTAGGGTACTCTAAAGTTATGCTTAAATAAGTTTCTTTCCAAATGTTGCACCTATTTTGAGAAAAACTCACCTAATATTATAACATAAATATAAATTCATATTGATAGTTCCATTACACACCTGCCATACACTTATTTGCATATCCGGGTCCACACTTGTTATTCTTTGTACTGCAAGCTTTGCTAAATCCAATGTGTCATTAGGTAGTTGATCAGGTAAGTACCATGGACTGAGGTTTTTAAATTTAGGCATCCAGTACATCATACGCCAAAATTTACGTAATGGTATTCCACGTCTACCAAAAATGTTCAACAACATTTGTTCCATTTCATAATCAGGTATTACACCTAATAATAAAAGTTGTAATTATTTTTCACAGTTAGTATAGTACCTGTATCAGATTTTTGTATCAAGTTCAACAAGAATTAATAAAATAAAGTATGCACAAAATTACTTCATTAATATTAATCAAACAGTATTATTTTTACCATTATCTTCCATTTGTTCCAACAAATCAACTGCACATTGTTGCTGTTTTGGATAATGCATGAATTCTGCTTGAAAAATATTTGTAGGTATGAATTTTCCCTTTGGTAACACATCTACCAGAGCTTTATACACTTCCAAGTCTTTTTGTACACCAAATTCTTTCATGCGGGCTAAGGCGGCATATATAAATTCCACATGTCCTCGTCGCCGAATATCGTTACCCTCGAACATTTTTATAACTTCTAAATATGTCTCTTTATTTTTTTTCGGCTTCGTAGCGAAGTGATCATACATTGTAACTCTTTTTTCTGTACCTGAACTCTTCCATCGCAATAGAACATTACTAAAAGTAGGGCGTATAGTTCTAAACATATTCCTAAACATTTTTATGGCTATTTTCAATATAAAAAGAAAAATTGAAATCGCTCAGATATCATAAACATCCCATCTGTTTTTTGTGTCATATACAGAGTATTATGTGTTTTGTGTCACTGTGCTATGTGACTCACATAGCACAAGCCGGAAAACAATAATATTAAATGCAAAAATTAAACAATATTTTTTTGAGGTTATTCCTAATTTATTCTTCTGATGTAACAAGACTAAAGAATATGAATTATGAATTTTATGAAAATCTAGCTCATTGCCGAGATGCCTGCTGCTGTCACTGTCAGTCTGACAGGTCTAACACAGCACACAGTAGTGCACCCGTAGACAGAGAATCCTAGTGCACCTATGTACTGACAATAGCCACAGATTTTTTTACCTAATATTTAGAAAATGCAACCAAAAACGAGGCATTATTAGTGACTACTCATTGAAGAATGTTTTTTTTTAATTTTTAATTGATTTCATATTTTTAGCAGTGTTATTTATTACAAAAGGAATTAAAAATGTATAAAAACCTAGTTTTTGAACGCAAACATTTGTATTGGCTGCAATTATTTCATTCATCCGATCAAGGATTACCTACAGAGTTTCATTCATTTTCCTTCTCGTTTTATCTTGTCCTCTCTTTCGTACGCGTATCGAAAGTTTCTTGCTGTCAAAATCACATTCACATCGTATTTTTTAGTCGAACTTTTATGATGAGGAAGTGAGTACGTGTCGCGTGCAACACATTAATTACGTATTGAAACACGTCAAATATAAAACTTTATAGCTATTTTAAATTCAATTTGTACAATTCGAGCATATATCTTTACGTTATCAACTGTTTACTAAGATTTTCAAGCCCTTAAGTCTTTAAACACGGACTAATGAAATATTTATAATTTTAAAACTTAGTTTCTTTCAGTGATAAAAGCAATATGCCAAAAGCATTAGTTTACAGTTTGTTTGTGTTCTTGGCGTTACAGTCCACAGGTAAGTGTTATATTATATTAATTATAAAATATGCAGTTAGTAAAATAGTAACATGTACATTTAATTAACGATAGAGGGAAGCGGCTAACTCTTGATTATTAAATTAAGATAAAAAAAATACTGTGGCTATTTTACTGCACTGCAGAGTAGGCGTATGAGTTAATTTTGAAAAGTATTTCATCGTAAATTATATTAATATATTATAAATATACAATTTAGCTGTACTTTTTATTACCCGCAATAATTTAAATTAAATCAATTCTATAGTATACCTTACTATAAAATTGATTTTTGTTTCTTTTTAGTACAAGTTTTCTGGGCTCGAGTTTGCTGGACGCATCTAGAGGGGCAATATATTATACACATTGATTGGCACTGATCCAAAATAACAGTTATCATTCTGATAACCATATCATTAGCGTAATTTAGATCTAGTGAAAAAATAAATGCTAGTATTTTTATTGTCATGTCAAAATTATTTTTATACTTAAAAAATTCTGACTAAGTACAAATGTTATTAGAATGCACATGATCTTGAAACTAAAGTACCATTAATTTATATACTTAGTTTTATATTTTGTGATTATGTTCTTAACCCTAACTTAATTGTATATTTAAAATAAATATAAAATACGCTTTAAAATCGTAAGCAGTGTTTTTAAGAATTTCGTAGTTAAACAACAAGGAACCCAACTGCGATCGTCAAACTACCTGCCAAGCATCACGATTAAGGCAATCGTCTCTGCCACGGCAGAGGTCCAGCCAGAGTAGCCAGCAGTAGAATTTTACTTTTTATTAAAACAGACGTAAATATTCGTCATCATAAATAATACACATACAACATACGTGTATACTGAGAGTATTCATGTCAGTTAGATGTTTCAATATTTTTGAAATTAAAAAAAATATATATTGTGTTGATAATGACGATTACTAATTTTTTAAAAGTACTAAACCTATCAATCCAATTAGGTTAATATGTTACGTAATAGATTACCCATAGGAGGTAATCTATTACGTAACATTAATATATACTATATATATATATATATATATATATATATATATATATATATATATATATATATATATAATATAAAGTATATATTGTATAGTGTATTATAAGATAAACATTTATTTTCACGAATATTTTCAATAGACTTTTATGCATCAAACATTGATTAAAGTATATGCCTATAATTTTTTGCGTATCTATCGAATAACATATGAAAGAAACAAAGTCTTCTCTTCTAATATCAAACAAAAATCTTTTATAATAATAGCAGTTCTTTTATAACAAACAAAACAACTAGAATTAAAAAAATGAAACTTATTATCTAAGTTGAGTTGACTTTTAAACTGGGATATTATTATCAATTAAATAAAACTATATCTACTCAGTAGATCCATCAAATTAATTAACAAAATATACCAATTAGTCAGGCTATTCGAAATTACAGATTATTTAACAAAATATACCTATCAAATGAAAGATATGTTCCGGTCAAATCATAAGCAATTATTATGAATTATTTTGAAAGGAAGGCTCAGTGGCGAAGCTAGAGCTCCAAGCTAGGGCATAAATTGATAAAAATATAGATTGTTGTTTTTAGCAGTTTTATAAAAATACACCAATCTTGATCTGTCTCCACGCTTCAGTTTCATATTCAGTGCTGTCAAGGACGTGTTTAACAAAGCACACAGAAGGCATACCACTGCTAGATAGATTGTATTATATATCAGCAATTGCATAGCTTCGGTGGCTTTGAAGAAAACCGTTTGGGTTTGTTTAAGCGAAAGAAAAAAAATATTTACATCCAATACAATACATGAACAAAAGTAAAACACGAACAAAGTACAAACAAACTATGTACAAAATTAAAAAAAGAAATTATTTACATTCTAATGGATAAGAGATAAGATAAGTGGAATCGTCTCGCTTTCTTATAGAAAGATTTAATTACGTCCACGTAAAATGTTGGTGAACGTTTTAATTGTACCAATAACTGTTTTTAATTGCGATAATTGATAAGTCTGAAATACACTCTTAACCTTGTGTATTATCTCAACAAAGTTTAAAGATTTCCTCTCCGATTATCACCTTAACATACTTCAATTCATCACAAGGAACACTATTATCCTCCATTTTCATTAAAAATCTTTAAAAAAGCATAAATTTTGAACTCGTAATATTAAATCGCGCAATACATTGAAACGTGAAATGAACTTGCAAACGTATTGTCCGCGCACCTCCGCTTTTAACAAATTTATTTCCAAAAGCCTGGTTTTAAATCTCTATACTAATTGCTATATATACAATCGTAGTTATATTTCATTATAGAATATTTTGCCATAGGTTAGAAAGAGAGCGATCGTCTTCTCGAAAGCCCCGTAAAAAGCCCACGCGAGCGAGGGAGACAACTATTAGCTCTATAACTCTCTAAGGCAATACGAGGTCATCGGTCGACATGTGTCGAACAGTGGAGTGCGCGGGAAATTTGAAATAGCTTGAAACATTTTACGAGTTATTTTATTAGTTGATATTATTGATTGATTCAGGTTTAATAAGGCTAGCCCGGCTTTTAGGCTTTAATGGAAGCTTCGCCACTGGGAAGGCTTCATATTTAGTTGGCCAGATAACGGACAGATCGCAACTCAACTCAGTCCGTGTCAGTCCGCGCTTCCAATAGGACATTTTTATGCTCGAGTGCAAATTGATGGCCAAAGCTAGGAGCAACAAAAAATATTTAGGGGAAAATATATTTGTATTGAAGTACATACAGGCATAAATATTAGTAATAAATGTGTCCTTTTTTCTCTGGAATTTTTCAAAATTACTATTTTTTTGCATCTTTTTGGGAAAATACTATATTTGTTAAAAAAAGACAACCATACCCCATATCGTGTCGCTGTCATATAGTGACGTAAGTGGCGAGAGAGGGAAGCAATTTAGGAGATGGGCAGAGGTGTCGTCTAAATAACAACTAAAAAATTAAAAAAAAACTGCGGTTACCAACCCGCTCACCAAGCGTGGCAACTATGGCAAATATCCCACCTATGAGCCAATCTATAGAGTAGGCCTACATAAGTGGTGCTGTGGCGGACTTTGATAGGCGGTATCGATAATGGTAACAGCCTTTTATACAACCCACAGCTGGGCACAGGCCTCCTACCACTTCAGGGAGGGTTATGGACCAAATATGGCAGCCGCGCTACTGCAATGCTTATGTATGCTATTTAAGATTATAAAAAATAAGCATTTATTTTAAACAACAGTTGCATATCTTAATATATATATATATATATATAAATCACGTGTCACGTTGTTTGTCCGCAATGGAATCCTAAACTACTTAACCGATATTAATAAAATTTTCACACCGTGTGCAGATTGGTCTAACTCGAGAGATAGGATTTTTTTTTACCTATGAGCGACCCACAATTTTTTTTTGCTAATTTAAGGATTAGTATGATGCATAGTTACTACACGTCTGCAGGTATGAAATCACGGGCACAGCTAGTGATTATAGTTAATATAGTTATTATATATTTACTGTGTAACAGAAAGTAGTTTGAGACAACTAATGCTTTTTGGATAAATCCGTCCATCGATCTGATCCATCTCCAAATACCCTTTTTCTAAGAAACGGGTAGAGGTATCAAGTTCAAATTAATATCACATAGGTACAGTATAATTCTATAATCTTCTTTTTTCATTCAAGTTTAAGTCGGTTTCACAAAATAATCATGTATCCACCATGCTTTTAAAAAAGTTATTGAGCTATTTTATTGTATATCTGTGCAAATTCGCTATCTATTGTTTTATTTGAATCAAATAATTCTAAAGCTGCAGTGAATAATTATACCTCTGATTGATTCCACATCGGTCCACGTGTTGATTAATAACAGTGATAAATTATTCCAACCAAAGTGCACTTCACTTTGAAAATTTATAGAGCACTAGTTCAGGAATTTGAATATCCCGTTCATATATATATATATATATATATATATATATATATATATATATATATATATATATATATATATATATATATATATATATATATATATATAGGGGGATGAGTCGCTCGCGTCCGTAGGCTTCGACCACCTAACCTTAGGCCCACCCTACACGTGTCCCCCGGGTGGTGCTAAACGAGCGACAAAGCCGATAAAATAGACTCGGCTCCTCGCCGTATGGTAGCGGCGTAAAATCTACCACCAACCCTTGTTCGCACCATGACTCAAGAAATAAAAGAAATGGCCCCGAGTTCCCGGCGCCCTTTAAATGGGGCAGGGGTGCGAAGAATCTCCGGGAGAAAAACCGGCGACGAAGTTCGCCACCCGTCACGTTCTGTCTCCCGGAGGGGCGAAAAGTGGATTGCGGAAACCCGTCTGGCTACGCTGAATGTATGTGGAGGAATGAATGATAAGATGGATGAAGTATGCGAAATGATGAATGACAGAGGAATAGATGTGTTATGTGTGAATGAGACGAAACGAAAGGGAAAGGATGCCACTGCACATGGCACGTATACCGCGTATTGGTCTGGTGTAGGCGAGACCGAACGGGCATGCCAGGGAGTCGGTTTCATCCTTTCAGAAAGAATGGGTCAATGTGTGAAAGAGTATGAATGTGTAAGCCCGAGACTGCTATGGATACGAATGAAAGTGGGCTTAAAGAAGCTGTTCCTGCTGGGGGTGTACGCCCCAGACATGTCTAAGCCCACTTACATCCGAGAGCAGTTTTGGGACATGGTAAGGATGGTGTTGACAAAATGTAAGGAAAATGAAAATATTATTATGTTAGGAGACTTTAATGGAAGGGTTGGGGTGAAGAGGTCTGGTTATGAAAGGATATTGGGAACGTTTGGTGATGAAAGTATAAATGAGAATGGTGAAGACCTCCTCACCGTATGTGCGGAAAAGAATCTTTTTGTGACGAATACTTTTTTTCGTCATAAGAAGATTCACATGTATACATGGGAAAGAGGTGA